AGGGGGAATTACAAGTTATACATCATGCACTTCATAGTATCTGCTTTCTCCTTTGATGGCCACAAAGTGATTCTCTGACAGATGGGTTTTTTTTTTTTTTGCATTTGGGGTTCAGGTTGGAGAGTGACAAATATCAACCATGCTGGATTCTTGAAAACAAAGTGAAAATCTTTTGTGTATCCATCAGCATTGACAAAAGGGGGCTAAGGACTCCTAACAGCTAAATGTGGTACTTCAGTACTTACAGTGTGCCCATTTGAATGGATCACTTACAAAAGTCCCATTTCACCATTCAACAAATGGGATGCTGACACAGTGGCTCCTCATTCCCAGTATCTAAGAGCTCTGCAATATCTCATTAGAGAGGTCCTGATTCCTCAAGGGACCTAAACATCCTCCTTAGCAAAGGACCAGGTCCAGAGCAAGCTAGCCAATCAACTTGCTCAGGAAGGCAGTATATCAATGACCTTGAGGCCCTGCGTCCTCTCCTTAACTTCAGCAAAATGCACTGTAGGAGTTTCATAGTCACAGATATTCAGGATGTGGATTTTGTCTTCAACATTGATCAGACCTTTTTTGCTCAGCATTGTTGTGACTACATCAGGAAACCTTTGCTCTGTATACAGCAAAAGGAAGCCAAAAAGGCTGTTTCTTTGGAGCTGCTGATCTACTTTTTGGCAGCTTGGCCCAGAGTCTTTGTGAAATTTAGATTGACCCCTTTATTGATTTATTTCCTCATCAAACATTTGCTAAAGATATACTATATACAAAGTCAGGGCTGAGCACTGTGAACAATCACAGACATGCCTTCAAGACAGTAAAATGTGCAACAAGTGCATTAATGGAGGTCAGGGAACAACCAATGAGGGGTCGGGAAACCAAAAGAAGAAAGTCTCCCAGTTTTGTCTGGGATGGAGGTGGGGGCTGGGGGGTGAGGAGATTTCATAGGGTGAAGATATCTGAGCCATCTTAAAGCATGAATGCAGAAGGGCCTGAGGGATGGTAGGGGCATTCCAGGCAGAGGGAAAAGCATAAGGGAAAATAGGGCATGAAATAGTACAGCATTCTTGGGAAGTTCTAAATAGTGCATTCTGAGGGTATTAGCATTTGAACCCTGATAACAGTTCTCAGGAGTTTGTAAGTTAATAGGGCTCCAAATGCCCCTGCAAGGCTCTGGGTATACACCAGGGTGGCGGACAGCATTCACTTTCCAGACCTTGGCTGGCAAAACACTCCCTGACTCAGTACCCCTGCCCCCAGGCCACTGATTTCTCCCATGTCCCGCTTCCAAGTCAGGGCTGGAAGCCTTGAGCTGCCCTGCCCACCAGGTGGATAAGGGGACAGTGTTGAGCACGGAAAAATAAACTCTACACAAAGTTACTGAAAGATATTCTAAGCCAAACTTATCCTAACAGGAAGGAAGTTGTGGGGAGTGGGGGAAGGGAGGTATATTTATCTTGCACCTGAAGGGTCTGAACAACTTTCAGCTTTGTCACCTTAATCAAATGAGACACTGACATGGAAAGGTTTTCAGTTCTTTAAACAATGAAATGAGAGAAATGAGAAAGGAAACCCACCTCTCCTACCCCACTATGGGCCAGATGCCACCCTCAGCACTGTCACATATACTAGCCTCGTTCAACTTCACAGCAGCCCAAAAAATAGGGACTGGTTGGCCCCATCTTACATAGGAGGAAACAGGCTCAGAAAGAGAGGTAGAGACTTGTTCATGGTCATGTAGAAATGACATGGATAATTTAAGTCCCAATTGAACAACATCAAGGGACAGTTCAGGATACAGAATTTTCTTTACATTTCTGTCATTGGCAGTATTTCAATTTAAAAACTTATGAATTATCTTACATGTTTTGAAACCTGCAACTATAGCCTGTATTTCTTTTATTTTCTCCTATAATGTCTGGTTCTGTGTTCAGGACAGAGTAGGTGCTCAGTAAACTCAGGCTGTTAATTCAGCCTTGCTCACCAGCATCCATTTGCCATTCTACAACTTGGTTCTCATTTATACATTTATTATGTTACAATGAACATAAACTATTTTCCAAGGCTCTCTTTTTTTCTAGAGCAGTGGTTCTCGACCAGGGGTGATTTTTCCTCCAGGGGACATTTGGCAATGTCTAGAGTTATTTGGGGTTGTCACAAATGGGGCTGGGTGTTGCTACTGGCATTCAGTAGGTAGAGGCCAGGGAGACTGTTCAGTATCCCACCAAGGCACAAGACAGCCCCCACCACAGACTTATCTGGCCCCAAATGTTAATACTGCCGCTGTTGAGAAGCACTGGTCTAGAAGGTAGCAATGTTTGAAAAGTGGCCAACAGAATTGTTGAGGCCATTTCTCTTGTGGAAGAATCTAGATGGCCTTCCTGCCTAAATGCATTTCACACAGTCCACATGTTAGGGCAGAGCATCCACAGGCCAAATTTGGCTTACAACTGTGTTCTGTTTGGCCAGCATTGTTCAAGTTTTCAAAAAGTGTGCTGCCAACATTTAAAAATAAAAGAGTCTGGATTTCTGCCTTGTCTTGAACAATCAGAAGATCTGATGACACTGGTTTCTCATTACCTCCTGAGGGAAATAGTATGTAAACCATTGAACAACTGGTATAGCAAGGCAGAAGCCACTTAGAATGTAGACCCGACCATCCAGAATGAATGTCCACCATAAAAGACAGTGACAGTCCCCAGGGAGAGGTGCCAGCCCAGCCACTGGCACCACCAGGCAGAGCTGAGGAGTGGCAGCCCCTCTGGGGAAGATGGCACTCTCTACCTCTCCCTTTTGTCACCTCACTCCCGAGGCTTGCCTCTGTCATCTCATTACTCCGACATTTTCCTTATGCAGACTTCATGGGAAAGTGAAGTCTTTGTCAAATGCGAGAAAATAAAAAAGTAAAGACTGCCTGTTTCACGGAAAAAAATCCTTCCTAGCCTATTCTCTCATTAAGTTCTATGTTTAGCACCTGTGATCCTTGAATTTGTGGCTACGAGTGGCTTAAACAAGTTCTCTTCTAAAATGCAGAAATTCTCCTGAAGGACTAAGGCTGGTGGGACTTTACTTTCTATAAGCCTCTTTGCTCCTCTTATTGTAGAGCTGAGGTCAGCTGCTTAAGAAATTGGTGCTGGGGAATGAAATGAATAAAGTGAATTTGGTTGGAGGGACTCTGGCAAAGCAGCTATTGACAACTTGGGGCCTTGGATAGGGGTTTTCCTTGCTCCTTCCAGAGATGGGTGGAGGGAGAAACGCACTGCTGGTCCTTCCAGCTCTATCTCTATATTCATTTCCTGTCCACACCTCTGGAGGCATAGAGATTTCCAGAAAGGCAGAGGCTCAACACTCGGGTGGAGTTTGATCAGAGTCCAGTCCCAAAGCATTAGAAAGGCAGGCATAGAGGACATCAGGAGACAGAAAAAAGGAGCAAAAAGAGACATTACAAGGTGCCAAAGAAACCCCTGCTTGATGGCCTGTCTAAGGCAGTGGCCACCGAGTGCTACAAACACTGGAGTTTTCTAATGCTTTCCCTCAGACAATCAGTCACACATGCAGTAGTCTGGGCGGAATCAAGCCTTGAGCTAAAGCGTAAGTGCTTGTGCTTGTATCCTCTGCCCTTTTACTGAAATGACTTTAAAACAATTCCTGACCCCTCTGAAGGTTTAACCTCAGTTGTCCCAGAGTAGAGCACAGATTCTTCCCGGAATGTTCTTCTGGTGTGAGAGAGTATGTTTTTACCATTTGGTACTGAAAGGAACCCCTTGGCTTCTCAAGTGCATCTCTTCCAATGGAGAAAAGTATGTACATGGAGGATAATGGAGGATAAAGCTTTTGACGCCAACTTAACATCATCAACAAAAACAGCCCTTTATTGAACTTTGTTATGTACCAAGCACTGTGCTAGACAATTTACACATTACCATTTCTGATTCTCCCAAGGGTCCCACTAAGGAGGTGTAATTATTTCCATTTTATAGATGAGAAAACATGCCCCAACTAGTCCAAGATCATGTGGCTGAGAGCCAATCTTGACTTGTTTCAGGTCAAAGCCTACACTCATTCCTCTGCAAGATCTCCTACCCAATACCCCTCTAATTTCAGGGGTCACATTTGATAGATAAGAAGGAGGCCCACACCAAGTCTCAGCAGCAAGGGTTTTCTTAGCACCTCCTCCCAGGCTCTTGCTTGGCCTGTTTGAAAGACACTTTGAGAGAAGCAGGGGCAAGTCTCTCCTTTGAGAGTGCGATGACCATCATTGTATCCCCAAGACATTTGCCTACTTCAGTCATTGTAATCATAGCTACTGGCTATTGAACATCTGCTTTCCAAGTATTGGACAATGCTCTTTACAGAGGTGATCTTTAATTCCTTTCCCCCATTTTTCAAATGTGAAAATAAAGTTTAGACAAGTTAAGTTGCCTGCTTAATGTCACAAGGTGAGCGAGTGACAGAGTCAAATTTGTACCCAAGACTCTCTGACCTCACATCCATAGTATTTCTACTCCACTCTGTTGTCTACCCTTTTCATAATATGGTCTGGGAAACCCAGTGCCAGGTTAGTACCTAAATCTTGCCTGCTGCAGTTGGAAAGAACCCACTGTGACATTTGATCGTGGTTTTAGAATAATTCTGTTTCTGTGTGCCCACTGGGAATTTCTATGAGTCTGTTGATCTGTACAGCTTCCTCCTTTGGGTAGTTTGTAAAGGGCACCTGTGGCTGGATTCCCCAAAGCCAAGCCTCCCCTAAGAGGCATTGAAGCCCTTCTTGGACTGCACAGAGGAGGCTGAAGGGGGAAGGAGGCAAACATAAGATGTTGACACTTCCCTCTTCTCCATCTCCATACCCCTCACTCTTATCAGGGAATATCTCAAAAGGCTCTGAGATCTACTTCCTTTGGAGCTGAAAGTGAAGTGTGCGGTTGCACCACTGGGCCCCAGGGTGAAAGAAAGGGAAAGCAATGCTAGAGCCATTTGGTATGAAGGAACTCAGCCCTCACCTTCGTAAATGTGAGATTCACAAATCCACCGTGGAAATTCAAGAGAAGGTTGGATTTTCGAGAGCCACAGTTCCCGGAGGACTGCGTTGCATTGGGGTCGATGTTGAAGTATCTCTGAGTTGAAAAAACCTAAACCAAATACAATAGATCAGATCAATGAGATGAAGAAGAAAATTCTAGCTAGGGAACCAGGCGCAAAGGCTAGTAAGTGAATCTGAAACTCAAGTCTAGTTTATGTTCACTTGAAAGTTTCAAAGTCCCCAGAAAACTCCTATCATTTCCAAACTGCTTTATGTTCAAAAGAGTTTTTAAAGGAGTTCCCCTACAGAAAGAGTTCCTTGATAGATAATTTATAGCCAGTCTATTCCCAATATACCACATGGAATTTGATTGTTGTTAAATTAAACATGTTAAGGGGCGCCTGGGTGGCTCAGTCGGTTAAGCGTCCGACTTCAGCTCAGGTCACGATCTCACAGTCCGTGAGTTCGAGCCCCGCATCGGGCTCTGGGCTGATGGCTCAGAGCCTGGAGCCTGCTTCCGATTCTGTGTCTCCCTCTCTCTCTGACCCTCCCCCTTTCATGCTCTGTCTCTCTCTGTCTCAAAAATAAATAAACTTAAGAAAAAGAAAAAAAAATTAAAAAAAATAAATAAATTAAACATGTTAAAAGGTACTACAAGAAAGCGTTTGCTGTCTAATGTACTTCAGTTTCAAATGAAAACCTGAATGTGGAAGTTTTATAAAACCTGTGCAAAAAAGAAAGTATTGCTTTAATGGTGATTCCTTCAGTAAAGCAAATAATCTCAGCCCTATCCCCACTCCTTCTAATCTTTTTTATCTGGAATTTTGATACTAATGTCACAGTTGGCTAGAACCATGGAGACTAATCCAAATCTCTCACTTCACAGGAAAGTTGCCGAGGCTTGAGGTCATCAGGAGGCGTAAGGCCAGGTTGGGCTCAACACTGAACTTACCCCAACACTCTGCCCATATTGGCTAAAACTAAGAGGTTTGCATGGTTACAATTTGGATGTGTGCCTTCTTCTATCCAGTCACTATTGGTTTCTGTTTTTATATGTATTCTAAAACAGATTCACTGTTTTTTAATATATGAGGTTTATTCATTTATTTTGAGAGAGAGAGAGAAAGAGAGAGGGTGAGGGGGGGGAGCAGAGAAAATCCCAAGCAGGCACCCTATTGCCAGCCCAAAGCCCGGCACGGGGCTTGAATTCATGAACTGTGGGATCACAACCCAGGAGGAAATCAAGAGTCAGTCGCTCAACCGACTGAGCCACCCAGGCACCCCCAAAACCCAGGCACCCATTCACCTTTTAATGGAGCACCTTGGAGAAAGAGGAGTCTGCAGCTATTTGTTTCATTAAAATATGACACAAGATGCAGGGGGATGTTTATTCTTACCAAGACACACTGCACTCAAACTTTTTGAAGATAGTGTTACAGTCCTATGGCGCCAACTTACCGACTCTGTGTCTTGAACCGTTAGCTCTATCCCCATCTCTGCTTTGATACAGAGCCTGCTTCCATTCAGAACTTGATAAATTCCGGTCTTGGCTGATGAAGGCTGAGGTGCCAGAGTGGGCCCAGGAGCCATGGTGGCAGGTGAGGCTGTTTGGGTGGTATTGTGTGCAGCTGTGGTGGCTCCTGAGGTGTGCATGGGTTGAGTAGACTTCTGACTAGTTGTGCTGTTATGTGGTGAGGTGGACAACATTGCTGGAAGGGTGGTCTGGTTACTGGGTTGGGTGGTTTTCCTAGTTGTGGGGCTGTTTCCTGTTGTATGGGCTGGTGGGGTGATGGTGGTTGGCAGTGAACCTGGCGCTGCCCTGTAGCCAATGGAGGCCTCAGTGCCTGGAGCAGCTGTGTGTGAGTTATTGGGTGTGGCCGGGGTTGTGACTAAGGTGTGGACTGTGGTGCTGGTAGATGGGGTACTGTTTATAGTTTCCAAGGAAGTTGTTACTAGAGTTCTTATTGTTGTGTGTGTGATTGGGGGTTCAGAGCTGGAGGTTGTGGCAGCTCTCTGAGAGGTGACATGACCATTTGTTGATCTTACTGCTGAAGTTTTGGGAGGTACTTGGTTAGTTGGTTGTAGGAAAGGTTTTGCTATGGCCTGCACTGTTGTTGCGGTTGTAGGCTGATAGTCTGCAGTCTCTGGGAACACTTTAGCTCTTATTTGACTGCCATAATGCAAAATCACTGCAAATTAGGAAACAAAAGTATTACCACACTCATAGCTCACATTAGTGAGTCCCTCCCCCACCGACATTTTAAATGTTTCTTCACTACAAATTAACACTTTTATTTATTTACTTACTTTTCTCTTTGAGATAGTGACTCTGTCACCTTCACATCCATATACTCAGAAATGTAATGGTTGGATCACATGGTAGTTCTACCTTGAATTCTTTTCTAAGTTTATTATTTTTTTATTTTTATTTTTATTTCTTTACATAATTTGTTGTCACATTGGTTTCCATACAACACACAGTGCTCATCCCAACAGATGCCCTCCTCAATGCCCATCACCCACTATTTATTTATTTTTTAAAAAAATTTTAGGGGCGCCTGGGTGGCTCAGTCGGTTGAGTGTTCGACT